AACTACATTGGAGCAGATGCATTTATATAATAAATCATACCCCCTGAGCATGAGTAATAGCAATGCAGTCAACTGCATTATTTCTGCAAGTGTCTGATATGCTGCATTCAGTTTAATTGCCTGTCTGCYTCACCCTGGGGCTCATTGGGAACCTTCTTAACACTTCTGCACCTCTTGGTGCCAGAATCTGTCATTGCTTTGCCCTTAAAGACYGAGTTTCTGAGCTGTGCTGGCTGAAGCCGGTGACTTTCTGCCTGTGGTTTAGGTTTGCCTGCCAGCATCCCCAGGGCCACGTGTTCTTGCGGAAATAATTAGAAATACGTTTAGAAGTACTTATTAGAAATATTATTAGAAATAGTTATTAGGAATAAATACTTTCAGAGCAGGTCAGGAGGAAGGCACCAAGCGTGGCACTAGTGCAGCTCAACTGGTGGCGAGGCCGTGATCCAGCCYGGGGCTCTGATAAGAGGGATCCAGCCGGACTGTCTTGCATCTTGCTCATGTCCTGGAGTAAAGTAACTGCGTAATGATGGCCTGGCTTGCCAACCCCCTTAGAGCATGGGTTGCATGCATTAAATTGTTTATAAAACATCTTGAGGCCAAGAATATAGCTTGGGTTTGTGTCTTGAAGCTATATTTAGTCCAGTGAAGCTGGGAGGAGCACACGCTGAAGAAAATACATGAACGGCGCTGCACAAATTTACTGGCCCACAGTACAGTGATTCTCTCTGAGTTATTTCCTCAGCTTTCATTACAGAGCAATTGGATAGTAAAGTTAGGAGAGATTGCACAGCTGAATTATGACCATTGCTGCAGGAAGGCCCCTCACCTGCTTTATGGGGGCTGTAAAAGAAAATGGATAATGACACTTTAAAGATCGCAGAAGATGGGAAGCTTAACAGAGTAGCCTGCTATAGCTKTCTTATAGATGCTGCTTTTGCATAATAGGATGGTGCCAGAGCTGGTGCCTGGGAAATTTAGAGACTGCCGTAGAGCTGCAGAGAAGCTTCAGGTTTGCTGTTGTAAATTATGAAAGCAAATGGTAAGTTTGAGATTAAATGTTTTCTTATGACTTCACTGATGAATTTTTATGAAATCAATACCTCTATACCTCTCTATAAGGTAATTTAATTTAATGGAATTGGCGTTCCCCAACTGGAGAGAAGGAGGGGAAAAAAAAAAAAAAGCTTTTGTTAAAACACAAACTTGGAGAAAAAGAACCAGTTTTGGGTTTCTGGAACTTTATGTCATGCTGGGCTCAGGTCCTGCAAATGGACCTGCCCTGGAAGGGGCCGAAGTACAACTGTGGCTCCAGTTGTGTGCTGGAAATAGGAATCCTAGCTTGTTCCTGACGACTTGACAATTTCTTGTATTTTCTSAGTAAAGTGATCTCTCTTCAAAGCAGAGCAGGCTTCAAGGTTCCTATTCCCCTAAAGCTGATCAAGCAACTCTTCTCTGATTTGAGAGGCTTCAAGAAGTCTGAGGTCTCTTGTTCTCTCTCCTTCCGTAAGAGTGTCTCCTCTTCAACACACTTCTCCATCMTGTAGTCCAGACATCTCTCCGTGTTTACCCCTGAGAGTGGGAACACACAAACTGGCCAGCAGTTATGAGACTTGCTGTTACTGCAAGAATATATCAGACTGACCCCATATAACATGACTTCCTTGGACGTGTCACAGCTCTTGCTGGCTTTGCTGTGCAGTTGTAGTTACTACCTAAGTTCAAAGAGGCGAGACTAGGTTCACCTTAGTCCTGTTATTTGTGCTCATTTGTGATACTTGTCCCATTGTACCGATTTCCATGGTGTTCATTAACAGCTTATGATTTTTCACAGTAATCACTGAGAGCCCCCCTCACCTTTGAGTAGATCCTGGACCCAAATATATTTTGCCTCATTAGGAGGTAAGATGCGAAAGTGAAGCACTGTTGTGCTTCAGCTTGGCATTTAGGGGCTTAAATGCCTCCCCTAAACTAGGGAAGATTTTCCACATAGTTCTAAACCCCACAGCATCTCAACAGGTTRAACAGGTTGTTTTGGCAGAGCTTGTAAGTGAAAGGTATTTGGTCAGTGGTTGCTGTAAATGGGCTGTCCCCGGCTCTACAAGGACTTGAAACAGCATCAGCACTGAGATGGATCCCTGCAGAACCAGCTTTGTTGCCAAAAGCATGAAATTCCAGGTTTCCTAACCAAGATAACTTGCCAAAGAATGAGCTCACCTGGAAGAGAAGTGTTTTTTGGCCTAAAACTAGGAATTACCTTGGGATGCGGGTGACCTTGTAGRGTGAGTCGTGTCATGCTCTATCGCCTGTTTTTATGGGAATATGTATGAAAACACTAGTGTGTGGTAAGTGCTTGCGGTTGAAAGGAAGGTTCACCAAGTGCGTTTTTGAGAATATTGCAAATCAGAGAGAGGGGGCAAAAACCTCAAGAGACTTTTCCCGTTTATGAGAATAGTGATGACTTTGAGGATTTATATGGATGTTGCTTGTTTTGATTGAACATTTATGAAAGGCCCAACTTCAGTTGTTATTTTTCTTTGTGGGAATAACTGAAGACTGTGGTATTCTTAGGTTAAAAATACTGTTTTTTTGTTTAAAAACTTAGGTTTTGTTTRTCTTTATTTGAAAATATGAATATAGAAGGTGGGAAGGGGGGGTGCTCACCACAGTTTGCAGCATGAGGCTGCTCTAAGTCGTTATCTAGTTCTCCTTTGTTCCTGTAATTTTGTAATTTCTGTGACTAGGGCAGCTCCTGCAATCTAAGCTGTCCTCAATACTGYATCTCTATACAGGAGCTGATCTTATATTCTATATAGGTTACAATGCAGCAAGCTGAGTTTTAGACCTCCTGAATTTCCTGCACTCTTATGGGTTTTAATTGGGCTTCATGTTACTTGCACAATGTTTTTTTTGTGATTTAATTGAGCAGTCAGTGTGAATTTTGTGGTGTCCGTGTGCATGCGAGGGAGAGGGAGATTTTCTAAGTATTCAGTGTTCACAGAGACATAAACAGGTGGGTTTCCAGCAGAGAGATTTGCATTTGAAAACCTGCTCTAAACGGGCTGGGATTTCCCAGGAGAAGCAGCACCAGCAATGAAATGTAGCGATCGATCAGCATAGAATTGTGTGAGCATTTGATGGGCAAAATGTTGTGGTATAAAGACAGGACCCAAGAATAAGCTCTTTGTGGCTTTGTTTCATTCTTGAAAACTGTGACTGAGAAGCTTTTATCACTTTAAAAAAAAAAAAAAAAAAAGCCACGTTTTGGTTAACCTGGAAAATACCAGCAAGATCTCTTGCAAAACTGTGTTTAAAAAATGGTGGGTTTTAATCTATTTTTGATGTAAGAAAACTTTTAAATGGAGTTTTTCATTTATCCCTGGCTAATATGTCCAAATTTAAAAGCAGAGCGTGCAGGAACCATGTGCTGAACCAGCCCTTTCAGTCCCAGAGCCGAAAGCGTGTAATTTATTGTACATAACGCTAAACTCTTGATCTAAGCAGCTTGTGTTTGCCAGTTGCTCTCTTCCCTAGTCYTAGCTAAGGAAAACATTCCCTTCCTTATCACAACACTTCTACTCCATGCCGCCTTCCTCAGGCCGAGTTGCTCACAGTGTTTATTTTAATTCCTACTTGATCAGACCAGCTCTCCAAGAAATACATCTGCAAAAATATGCACAAATGTTCATATAAACACCAATGGGGACACCTGGTGGAGAAACTCTGAGTTGCCCACGACACCCTGATGAAGCTAATGAACACATAACCCGGAATTAGCTTTCGCTGTGATGGTCTTTGAGTGCTTTTAACCACAGCAAGTGCAGGAGCTGCCTGACACCGACGGCTCATTTGAAGCATCCTGTGTGTGCTGCTGACCAAGAGCTCGTGGTCATGGTGCTGGTCCTAGTCTCACCAGGCTCCCTAGTCCCGTGTGCCCAGCTCATCCCTGGGGCATGGCTAGAATTTGGCCTAGAATTTGGTTTCTAGGCCATTTGTGTGTGTTATAAAAGCCTCMGTTCGGACTGGGACAAGCACAAGACGAAGTGTGAGGCAACTGAATGGGCAGCATGTTTGTCCATGGGCTCTTGGAACTGTGTGCAAGTGGACCCTGCTTTAATTGGAGAAATAAATGTCCATGGTTGATTGTTTCCCTTTGGGTTTGATCAGAAAACAAGTGTTACCCTTCCTCACAACAAGGCAGTGGTGTGTAAATGGTTCTGATGGGCCTGCTGGCCAGCACCAGCTACAGCGCAGGGGGCTTTCTGTTTTYTTTCTAATGGGGAGAGGAGGAGAAGAAAAATTCTTACAATCATGAAGAAGGAAGAACAATTTTGGGCCCTTTGTTTTGATGCRCTCCGTTCTCATGTAGTGGGATTTAGATGGCCTACTGGTTTTCTCATTGTTTGGGAAGAAGGAATATATTAGAGTTCTGCAGCAGAGCTGCCAGACATTTAGAAGAGAAAGTGGCTTTGTCACAAGTTGGGTGGCAAACTGTTTTCGTTAGATCTAACAGAATATTATATATTTAATTTACATTTCAGAGTCTTTTTTCTGTGGCAAACCAGACTTGCAAATGAAATGTGAACCACTTCCATCARCATTCAGGATGGCCAGCTAATGTCTCTGTCCTTGCACAAAATAATAATAATAGAGAGACTAATTTTATTTGTATTCCTCTGTTGGGATTAATACCACAGCAGGTTGCTACTTTTTGTTATAGACCTGTGATTCGAGATCAGGCAGTTTTAAATTTGGTACTTGAATTCAGATGCCCCAAGAAGGTGCCTTTCCAGCTGCAGGACTGCAGCTGACTAGAGGCAGGTGCTTTGAATAGCAGTAAGTGACTGTCTGGGGCCTGACCAGAGGCCCCTGTGTGACAGTGGCCAAGAGCAGATGCTCAGGACTCGGTCTTCTCTAAGCAGAAGAACTTCTCTTTGGTTTATCCTGTCAGCTTCTGACAGATTTTAATCACTAAATATTCCTTATTTTGCTCCTTGCAGAAAACACCTTCTGTAGCGGTGACCATGTATCGTGGCACAACCCCTTGGACAACAGCGAGTCTAGAATCCAGCACATGCTGCTGACAGAAGACCCGCAGATGCAGCCAGTGCAGACTCCTTTTGGAGTTGTTACTTTCCTACAGGTACGGCTGATGGATGCCTCTTGGTCGGGGAATTGGGCTGACATCACATATTATTTAGTCCATTTAGTTTATTTAGTATAACGTGGTCTTCCAGGATTTGCTGTCAAACGCATATTCTGCTGTTTTCCACTTTTCTTCCTGCTTTGCCTGCAGTGCTTCTCATCCTTGAGTCATTCCTTTGGTGTTCAGAATGGATTTAATGGATTTTAATGAGCCGTGGCACGTACAGCGCTCATGGTACAGGCCTATCTGCTGCAGAGAAGCTTGACACCCTGAGACAGACCAGAGTTGAATGGTGCATGTTACTGCTGTGCAATTTCAAAGACCAACATTGTGAAAGACTCAGAAAAAATGCTTTTAAAAACATTATTTGGAGCTAAATTCAAAGTAGTGCTATAGCAGCACTAATAATGATCCTCTGGTTTGGGATCCTTAGAGTAGGACTCAGACTTGCTTTCACATTGTGTTATGCCTGAACTACAGCCTGCAGCATTGACAAAAGGGTTCTTTAGAGGCTGAGTGAATATGCCTGTATTGATCTTCTTTTAAGAAAAACTCAGGTTTGCTTTGCAAAAGAAATATTAAAAAAAAAAAAAAAAGAAAAATCCCTTTCCTAATGACTCCACATCTGGAGCTGTTTAGGCTAGCTGTTGATTTCTCCCTGCCCCATGAAAAAGCTTCATTGATGTGGGAAGATGCAAGTATCTGTATTTTACAATTTAAGCTTCAGGTTGCTCCCATTTGTCCCTGGCTCGGGTTGAACCCAGTGGTTATGAGCCGGAGCGAGGGGGAGCTCTGTTACCCCAGACCTGCACGGGGCAACGGCCGAGCAGGGGCRAAGGGTTTCCTGAATCTTCTGGTGTGCCCAAACCCCTGTGTTTTATYAGCAGGAAAGAGAGATGTGGTTTAATCAGTAAAAGGTGACTGTGGGGTCTGGAAACAGAAAGCAAATCTAAGCAGAGCAATTCCTGGCTGGCCCCCAGTGGGTGCTGCTGTAGTCCCCATTCCTTCTTTAGTGCCCAGCTGTTCCCAATTGAAGGACAGTCAACTGGTTGCATCCTTTGGCTCTTGGCCTCTCATCATCTTCACATACGGTTGACTTATTTTTTCCCCTTTGTTTGTTTGATGCTCRTTGTTACGGATTTATTTTGGCCCACAAGGATTGCAGAAAGGAAGGGACGGACACAAAATAGCTTCCTGTTTAGAGTCTTGCAGTTTGTGTGTGATTAGTGAGGAAGGGCGCAGGGAGGGGTGTGAGGGGGCTCCCTCGCCAAGGCAGCCTGGCAGATTGGGGAGAATGAAGAGCTCTTCCGAGGGCTGCCTCGTGAGGGAAGATGCTCTGCAGTGTTGCTGCAAAAGGCTTAGGCCTTTGAGGCCTCATTTCTCCTCTCAGGGGCCTGCCCCAAGCCAGCAGTTGGTGGATCAGGAAGGGACTGCCTTTCTCTGTCTGCCAAAGAGCTTTTCCACCCCCTCATCGGAGGGGCTGCTCTCCTCTGTTGAGAGAGGGACATGTGGCAGTGCTCAGCGTGGCAGTTCCCACACCGAGAGGCAAACACGTCCTGCCTCGTGCAGGGAGGTAGAGACCTATGATTGCTCGCAGTGAGGAGCGGGTTATGTGGTACCTAAGCAGCTCTGTAGTGCTAGGTAAGGTTCAACCAGTCGGCAAACCGAGTTGGTCGAGGATTTATGAGCACCAGAGCATTCCTTTGTGGCAGCAGGTCTTTTGCCTGGTTGCAACTGCTGATGTAGCAGTGCTTTTGCTCCTAGCAATCGGCTGGCAGAGCGTGGGCTCAGCCCCTGACATGCTCCGCTGCAGTCTCCCTTGTGTTGACTGACCTGAACAGGCTAGTGGGTTTTCAGTGAACTTGKTTTTTTTTCACCACCCCTCTCCCACAGCTAAATTCACACCTTGCATGCGAGATCCAAATGCCACGTGGCTAAGGCACCTTACGTGATGGGGGCAGAGGACACAAGGAGCTGCAGAATCTCTCCATTGTCTCCAGATCCATTCTAATATAGTTAATTAAAAACAACAGTGCTTCTCTGCATCTGCAGTTTGAGCTAGACACACATGGCACTTTTTTTTTTCAGTTTCTTGCACTGTTCCCGTACTATTTAGTACTTTTAGTACTTGGATACTATTTAGTATCTTTATTTTCATTTGTTCCAGATTGTTGGGGTTTGCACTGAGGAACTGCATGCTGCTCAGCAGTGGAACGGCCAAGGGATCTTGGAGCTGCTTCGGACTGTGCCTGTGTAAGTGCCCCATTAGTACCTACAGCCCCATATAGAAGTGGGTTTTTTGTTTGTTGATGAAACTTATTTAATCTTGTGCAATAGCAGGATATGGGAATTCGTTGCAAGTCTTTTCTCACATGAAGACACTTAGATGGCAAATTAGTGCATGTGGAAGTCAAYGTGTTCTGGGTGAAGCAGAACGACCTCTTGAAAGCTTAATTTCCTTCCTCTTGTACATGCAGCACTTTTTCATTGGTTCTTCCTGGAAGAACCAGGATAACTGTTAGTGATTGTCCTCTCCGTGTAGTTCATAATAAAGAAGGAAGAARGTCTGGCTTACAAAGCCTAGTAGAATTTAGATATCCTCTGAAAGTGAGAAAATAAGGGCAAACTTGGAGAGGAGTGTTCATACCTGTGAAGTCCATTCTGTTATTTCTGTTATAACGTTGCATGAAGGAAGAAATAGGTTTTAGAAGTTACATGGTATGGTGGTGCCTTATTTTCCTGCCAGGCTGCAGCATTTTTTAAAAGTTTTTATTTATTTTATTTTTACTTGCAGGTGTATTCTTTAAATGTTTTCCCTTCCTGTTTAGAGGAGGCTATTGCAGTATGATAGCAGCCCAAAAGATTTTTACATAAAATGGTTTTGATTATGTGCTTCTGGGCACCATAGCCTGCTGTCTAGTCACACAGTGGATGTCGCTTACAGCTTTCTTCTCAAATTTCTTCTGAATTTCCCCTCTAAGACACAAATGCAGATAACTCCTGAGGTTTTCTTAAAAGAGAATCTGTCCTGTTGCAAACTTTTTCTGAGACTTCAAGGCAAAAAACACTGCCTGCAGCCTCCCTGGTTCCTCTTGAGCCTATGCAGATAAGTTACCCTCCTCAGGCTGTTCTGCTTTGGGGAAAGTGCTGCTCTTGTGCTGTGGGACAAGCACCTTTCCAAGGGCAAAATGAAAMCCAAATAAGCTGTGAACTACTGAGCTGCTGATGTGGTGTCAGAGTGAAAGTCTCTTGCATCTCAGGTGAGGAGGTGAAGTAGGTGGCACCTTTGCAGTTAACAATTAACAGGTTCCAAAGTGATGTGGGAACAAAAATAGCTGTCAGTGCATCTGAGGAGCTATCAAATATTAACTTACAGTGCTTTGACTGCAASTGCTTTAAGAGGCAGTAATGCAGACGAGGCTACAGGGGGCTTTGGACTGCAATAACCAAGTATCYATTGTAAAAGTGAAATTTTTATTACATTTTTTCTTTCACTGGCAATTCCAGGAGCCTTCAATCAGTTTTTATTTCAAATGAAAACCTCCCTCCAAAACTGATTTCTGCTTCTGTCTGCATTGTAACCTAAAGTCCCCAGTTTATGTTCTTAGTAATGTTTTCTGTCACCTTTTGTTAGGAAACATCTTGACCCTTCCAACTTTTATTGCTAATGAAAACAGATTTTGCTGAACCGTCTGAGTACGCAGGCGTTAAGCACCAACCAGGCAAATGGTSTGGTGTGGGGACATTAATCAAAGCAATAAGCTTTTCATGGTACTGGACATGACTGCTGATCTCAGCAAAAAACAAAGCTCCCCTGGGACTCTGCTGCATCTTTCGATGTGTAACGGAGGTGGTAAATCTCAGCCCCAGACCTTGCTTGCCTTTCCTAGGCCCGGTTTGTGCTGGGCTGCACTGTCCCAGTTCAGAGCTACCGGCTAAGACTAAAATGCAGCTCAGTCTTGCATGAGTAAGAGGGTCCACAGAGGGGATAGCCTGAGTCSATCTTGACTGTGTTGCAAGACTCAGTGGTGCCAAACACTAGACAGATAATAGTAAAGGGTGCTAGGGGATATACATGCAGCATGGGGAGATGCTAGGCATTTATTTATTCATTTAAAGCTGACGTATACCTTCTCCAAGTGCAGGTCCACCCTGAGGACTCCGCATGGGGAGTACTCACTAAAGTCCCTGTTTGGTTCATTGCCTTCCTTCCTTTGTAGAGCTGGCGGCCCCTGGTTGATAACAGATATGCGAAGAGGAGAGACGATATTTGAGATCGACCCACATCTGCAAGTATGTCTTTAGTTAATAAAATATCGTGTCTTCTGTAGAAGGTAGGAGAAACTGATTTAATGGCATTAACACAGCTCTGTTGTTTTTTTGTAAACATACTGTGATCTTCCCGGTGTTTGCAATTCTCAGAGCTGTCTTAAGACTCCTTCTGCATTCTCTGGGTGGTTCTAATGTTTGGGCGTGCACATATCCAGGCCCGGGTTCATAGCAACTCTAGGAAAGAAAATGAGAGAAGGGGGACCAGGAGAGCAGTCTCGTGTATGAGACTAGTAAGATTTGGGTTGCTTGTTTTGGAAATTGAGGGGAGAAGATACAAGCATACATGGCTTAATGAAGATGGATCAGAAACTTCRCTCATCATTTTATATGCAACTATAAGGAGATATGACATGCAGAAAATTCAGAACCTACTGAAGTAATATTTTTTCACAGATGACAGTGTGACTTATTCCTCCAAGAAGTCGCTTCAGGCCAAGTAGTTAGTTTAATCTGAAAAAAGGAGTGGGAAGCCAAGAGTATCTCAGTTATCTTTATTAATACATTCAAGGAGATATATTAAACCTTCTGCTTCAGAGCTCAAATTAATTTCTAAAGTTAAAAGATAAGAAAAGGACCTGTATGGGAGCAGAGGAAGGTTGCTGTCCCATGGCCCATGGTTGATTTATGTATTTCAGAGAGCTCTATATCCCTTCAGCAGAGAAGTGATGCTGAAGTAGATAGGTCCCAAGCAAATCCCATGTCTTRCTGACCTTGTTTCAGGGAATTGGTGAGAATTTTTCTTTAGCAGAGAACTTATGGCTGAGCGGGTAGGGCATGTGCATATGTGCACGTTTTGCACAAGCTGCTGCATTTTCCTACGGCTTGCGTGCCTGTATCTGATTAGCCTTAGTTGCCTCACAACATTTTTTGTTTCGAGAGCTTAAGAATAAAACCAAATTCTACTTTTACTGTCTTTAGGGATTCATTCATTTAAAATAACTCCCCCAGTTTGAGAGAGAAAAAATACTCACAAATGTCCCACAGTGTGGGTGCTAATACAGCTGTCAAGCTTTAAAACTTCTCAGGCTCTTGGAAACTTTGCCCGTGTGCCCTCTCCCCTCCTGGAGGGTGTTTGTCTGTTCTCTCCATGCTGGCGATTCCGGACGATAACAGCGTTTTCTTCAATTTACTGTAAATGAAAAGGAGCTCAGCTTACTGGCATCTGAGTCAGCCAAGGCAAGTTAAGGCAAAGAGAAAAGTGCTTCTCCCTCGCTAGTGTGTCCTGCCACCGAAGGCTCTGATGTTTATGGTCTTTCCGGGCTTCCTCACGCTGAGARCATTCCTGTTTCTGTTCTCTCTTGCCCACCTCGCAGTGAGTGTGTGCAGGTATGTGCGTCCCTCCTTGCCGCCGCGCTGCCCCTGAAGGCAGCCTGCGAGGGAGCCCCAGGGCAGAAACTGCCTTGATGGAGAGTCCTGGGAAGAGGCTCTGCAAAGCGCCGGGATCAGGGCTGTGCCAGCGCCCGTCCCACCCTCATCACGGACCTCCTACTCGGAAACAGGGGGAAAGGATGAAGCAGCTTTTCCTTGGCGTTTGCTTAGTGGTGTTACCTGGTGTTTGAGAGCTGAAAGGCACTGCTAGAGGATAGGTGGCAGCGAGGGAGGGAGGGAGAAGGGAGGAAAAGTGGATAACTTTCCAGGGAGCCGGCACACGCTGCCTGCCCGGGAAGCGGGCGGAGCGAGTTTTGAGACTGCATTGTTTCTTGTGGGAATTGGTTGAGGCCTAAACCCAGCGCTGGCAGCGGCGGCGGTACTTTCTGTTCGCRGGCGCTGAGAATGGGTCCCAGCTAAGATGTCATCCCAGGATGTCGGCAATTAACACTGCGGCGGCGCTGGCTGCTCGCCGTGCAGCCAGGCTTCCCTGMAGGCTGTTCACAGTTCCCTGGCAGCGCTGTCGGGCAGTCCCTGTTGGGCCCGAGCTCTGYGCCGCTTCTCAGTGCTCTGCTTGTGTCGTAGCAGATAGCTCAGAAGAGAAGAAAGCTGATTTGAATTTCCTGAGTTGTGGTTGCTGCTCTGCGGGTCACGCTGCAGTGCTCTGGCTCGGTTAGAAAGGGATCAATGACTTAGAAGAGCCTCAGAGCATCCCTCCCACACGCTGAGAGGAAAATGGGACAGAAACATCCTTCCTTTGAGGAAGGAAAAAGCTGAACCTCCTTTGCCCGGGGCTCCCCCAGCCTCCAGCTCARGCTGCCCTTTCAGAGAGGAAGAACAGCCCCTTGGCCCAGGCACATCTTCACTGGCCAGAGATGGGTAACGCTGTGCATCACCCCAACTGAGAGCCGGTATTGGGGAGTTGTTGTTTTTCCTCCTTTTGCACCAACACTTTGCCCATGTTACAAAACAGGCATGCAAATTAGGCCGCCTTAGGCCAGCTCCTTTCCATCGCTCCCTCTTGAGCTCCGAGAGATGCCAACAGAGCAGCACTTCTGCCCCTAAGGAAGTGCTCTGCAGACCAGCTGAGCTGCAGAGCCCCTTCCCKCCTGCTGTCCGGAGGCGCTAGCCGTGTCTGCGAGCAGCGCCCCTGGCTACGCTCCTGGAAAAGCGCTTCCCAAAAGGGCCCTTGTCCAGCTGGAGCCCGCAGGGCCCTCCGGCCTCTTCCTCTACCTCCTCCAGGGCGAGTTTGGCTCTCCCGTGTGTCCCTAGTTGCTGGAATGAAAAATAGCYGTGCTGACAAGCCTGAGCTCCCTGTCCTCGCACCAGCTGATTTCGGTCCTCGCAGAGCGCTGTGGGGGCTCCCTAAGGGGCCAMGTGGTGGAGCATCATTTGCGTATGTAGGGTCGGATGTATTTTTTTTTCTTTTTTTCACAACTTCTATTTCTGGGTGGAACAGCTCATTTTATATTTAGGACATAACAAAAGAAAAATTACTGCAGATTTGCTGTTTCTCAGCTTCTCCCATTGCTTTTTCCCAGAAACCAGTTTTTCCATGACACTGGAGGAAGATACCAGTAAGTGGTAGCCCTCCTCCAGGAAGAGAAGCAGAAGGGAAGGCAGTTTCTTGAATTTCTTGACTGCTTAGATCTGTTTAAGCCAGGATTGTTCTGGCCCTGCCCTTAGCTGCAGGCTTCTGCACGGTGCCTTGGGCCAGGGAGGCAGTTCAGGGGG